CTTTTATCACTTTGCGTTTCAAAACAGATGGCAACCGTACACAAAATTATCTTTGCCAAAAATCGTTTATGGTGTTTTTTATTTTGCAGTCTAAGTTCGAATATAACATTTGTTTAATAATTTTTTTATGAATTTTCGAAGAGCTGGCAACTCTTTTCAAAAATATTTTCAACTAAAAAACAAACTAATTTTTTTTTTAATATGGTTACTCGTTGTAACAACTCGTTTATTCTGTAAAATTTAGTGTATAAAAAAATTGTAAACCGTTGTAATTGTTTTAATTCACTTCACTTCGATACTTATATTGCTGTTACTTCGTTTTATACATGTTTTAACTTAAAAATTTTTACAGGTGTCAACTTTCTAAGGTTTTCTTCTCACTGTTCTTCCTGTTTTTCGCCCTCCAAATATTGGGATATACAAATCATTTCAATTTTCACCATGCTCTCTTCTTAATGTAAGGCGTTTGTGACGAAATTTTGTTGTTCTACACGATTTCGTTTCAGTTTATCGATTTTGGTAAAAAATCTGCAAAAAGTTTCATCTCGAACACCGTTTTAGAAATTCATTACTTTCGATACAACATTGATTCATAAATATTCATGATCATCTCGAGGTGAATTTAATTAGTACAATACCTTTTCCGAAAAATATCTCAACTCGATTACTCAAAATCACCTGTTCGCGAGATATCAAATCTGCTTCTTGCTCTGGTTAAGCTCCGCTTCAATATTTCAACTTAATAACTCTAGTCCATGCGCCCACCTACTATTAATTATTTTCACAGAAAGAATAGTGGGCGAGGTTCGCACAGAAGCTATAATACACGTCGTAGGTGCATGTCTTATAGTAACTATATGTACAACTAAATCTGAAAACGTTAGTTCTTTCTAGACACGTTGTTTGACAAAACTAACCTCCAAGTCAAATTATGGTAACTAAGTAAAGAAAAAAAATCTTTTATGAAGATATTTTTCTTCATTTTTTTTTGGACAATAAACTATGCCTAATATCCTTAAGTATCTTGTCGAATAAAAAAGTTTTCCATACAAGGCCTTAATTTTGAACGATTAGTGTACATGGCAGCTATAGACTATAATATAATGGTCCGATATCGGCGATTCCGACAAATGAGTAGCTTCTTTGAAAGGAAAGGACGTTTGACAAATTTTGTATCGATAAAAATTGAGGGACTAGTTCGCCTATACACAAGTACAAACAAAGGGTCGCGCTGATCAAGGTAAAAAATATTTCGAAAACATATAAAGTACGTTGTCGTATACATTGCCAGGGCGACCGGACTATATATTACAAATTGTGGAGCTAATTGAGGATTAAAGCCACAATTAAGACACGTAAATTGTATGGCGCAGCATAGGATACAGTGGAGCCAGCGATAACGAAACAATGCAGGCACATAAATGCTTCGTACGGCTCTTATGAGCGCCTAGAGAAAGAGAGCGAGAGAGAAAAATTATATATTTGACAAAGAGCGAAATATAAATATAATTGTTTTTTTAATAAACAATTCAGCAGAGAATAAATTTTGATAAACAAATGAGTTAAAGAAAAGGTGAGAATAAGGGGAAGGAGAGCGTAATCTCAAGAGCGCTTAGTATGTAGCTTTACACATATGAATATACTTTTGAAATATTGTATTTTCAATATATATATATATATATGTCTTTGTTTCCGTTTGGCAAAAATAATATTGAGGATATACAATTTTTTAAACTTATGTATAAACATATATAACTGTTAATCACGATTGAATAATGTTGGTGGTTAAAAAAGAAACAACATTTAGTCAATAATTTATGTGAAAATTCGCAGTTTAACCCAGCATATGCTCATTTTCCCTGGGTCTGCGAGATACCCGCTGTACAATGAACTGTCATAAAGCGACACAGTTTGTATCTACCCGCATGTACAATCATGGGCACACATATGTACATACATGATAAATACAAACAGATATGCATGCAATATTTACTTTTTGGATATTTTTGTTTGACTTTTCAGTGTTCTTCTTTATTTATGTTTTGTTTCATACCCACATAAACAATGTAAAAATAAAACTTCAAAATAAAACAAATTTTTCCTTCGCACTCTCAATGCACTCTGCTGCGCTCATAGTTTTGTTAAGAGAGCGCTTAAACGTGCGCAGCGCCTATACTCTTCGACCTGTTGGAGCGTTGCATTCTCCGCTACACTCACGCCAACTCACGCATTTCCGTTGCACACACACATACACAACGGTACTTGCATGCATGAAAATATAATTGTGTGGCATATCTGTAGGCTCATTCACGGCTAGCGCGCATATACATCGATACATACATATGTGCAGTTGTACATATGTATACATTTTTTTCGTACATTTGAAGTTATTTTAAAAATTTCGTTTTCAGTTTCGATTCGCCTGCGAACGCGTTTGGCCGCGTCCACTCTAGAGCCGTGTGAATAAATGTGATTGGTGATTGATTGAGCGTGTGACCACGACACAGCAGCAACGAAAACGAAAAAAAAAAAAAACAAACAAAATATAGATGACAGACATCGTAGACGCCAACGCCAAACACTGCGGATGTGATGTGTGAACGTGAGCGGCCGCCACACAGACAACAACAAGATTACGACGAGTATAATGTGATTAATTTGCCTAGAGCTAAATAAATTTGTTAGTTTAATTAGTTAGTTGGCCGGTATGTGCGTACGCGTGGCGCCGTTTTTAAATCGAGTCGCTCAGATGTTGGTTTAATTGTGGCTTGAGCACTTGCCAAGTGTCAAACGTCAATAAAGACGGGCTTCGAAATTTTTTTTTTTAATATTTTATTTTTATTATATACCCAAATACATACATATGCATGTATGTATGTGTATATAAAGTGCTGCGATATATAAAAAATTTGCAAAAATTGCCACGAGTGAAAAATATATTTATTTATGCATATATAACGACGCTGCAAATTAATTATTGTAATGACAAAAAAACTACATTTTTTATTGAAAAACAATTTGTTCAAAATTATTTACAAAAAAATAACCCTTTATTTTAATAACTATTTTTTTAAAAATTCCAAAAAAAATTAACGTTTTTAAAATTATCTTAAGTCACACGTGCATTTAAACTATTGCTTATACACATCACCAAGCTTATTTGAGTGAAAAACGCTTATATTTAATCACGTCGAAAAATCTGACATACATACATATGCAGATGCAAACAAACATGAAAAGCACTTATGTGATAAGCAGCCCATACAGAAGCCACGAAAAAGTTAGCAAAGCATGCGTCTAGCTACCTCTAAAAAAATCGAAAAAAATTTTGAATAACTTTTCCAAGATTTTCATTATTTTTCGACAGATTTTCGTTGACAAATTTTAAATCTAAAAATTATGTGTGAATTTCTACGTTTTATTTAATTTACAAATCGTAAAATATTTTAATATAAATTTTATAAACAATTTTTGAGCACACAAATATACAAAATAAAAAAAATTTAAAACATATAAAAAAAATGTTTTTATTTAGAATATAAAATGCAAACAATTTAAGATAAAAGTGAAAAACAAGAAATAACAAAACACACATAACCATAATACATACACGAAAAACACACACGCGCAATCAACGCTGACTTTTCGAAAGGCAGACAACCTTAAGCACATACACACCATAGCAAACAAACATATACAGTTATAAATATACAAACACACACGTACAAACGCATATACATACATTCGCACTAATGTAGGCTCTCTAAGAAAGTAAAGATAAAATGAAACGCTGTGCTCCCTATTTTCATTTTCGTTTCGCTACACATATAAACACACGACACACACACGTATATACATACATGTAGTCGCTGTGACTATTACAATTTTAGTATATAAAACCGTATCAGTAATTTTTATGTATAAACATACTCACCTATCTATATATTTACATAAAAACATTAAAATACGCTCTTATTTGCGAGTGGCGCTCAGAAGACGAATACCCGCTTTTCTCGCATTTTCACACTCTTCAAAAGCTCTCACTCACCGCGAAATTATTTCAATTGCTGCTCAGAACTCAGCAATGACACGTCGCTATGTAATATTTTGATTACTTTATTCTAACAAGAAAATAAGCGGTTCTGAATGCAAATATTTGATTTTGACTTATTGCTGTCTAATATTTTAAATGTCAGATTTTCAATAAATTTTAGCAATTTTTGTTATGTGAACATCTTGAAGATAGTAAACCTAAGGCATGTGATACATGTTCCAGTAACGATTATTATTCCCGGTTTAATTTGCCTTTCTCCTTTGGGTTCGGAGTCATAAACCCAGAACCCCTTGGAGTAGATCAAAAAAAACTTTGCATATCTAAAAAGCTTCCAGCTGGTTCGCCTGGTTCGTAGAAGATATGGCAACCTAGATGTTTCCAGCGATTCCGTTGTGACCCAGCCAAGTCTAATATGGAAGTGCCTTGATACTACTGCTAATGAGGTCATGCCCTCCTTGACTAGCTTTCAGCTCTCAGTCCACGAGCTCAAGGCCTGTATTGTTATCGGAGTGAATGCAAACCTCCCTGAAAGAAGTTGCACTTCGAAGAAGTTATGTAGATAATCTAAGAAAACAAAGAAGTCTTTTTTTATTTGGACTCCATCCGAATTCAAAAGTAGAACTACGCATCGCTTATTAAATTCTAAGATGATATATACATAAAGTCGGATCTATAAATAATACGTATCCACTATTCAATATATCTAGTCAAGGATTGTAACTTCAGTAGCATTTTCAAAACAAGCTGTACTGTTCTGGGCAAATTGGGATCGTTTTAGAGCAACACCGTTCTTACTTACTCTCTATGCGATCTGGGTTTAGATATGACCTATTCAAAACTATTTTGGGCTCGTTTATGGCGTTTAAAAAAAAAAAATTATTCTGTATCAGTTGCGAACGTTTCAGAACATTGCATGCTTCCAAATAAGAGAGAATATCAAAACAAAATTTTTTTAAAGTAAAAACTGATACTTCCCACTTGACTTTTTTTTCATAAAAAATCACTTGTTTTTGTGCTGGCTCGAATGATAATTACTTTCTAATTAATAACTGCCCTACAGAGAACATCTTCATTGTTCTGATAGCAACTGTTGCCGGTGAGAGCCGATGTTGTTACTTTTATTTGTGCCTTGGCATCAAACGTTCTCGTTGAAATTAAGAGTAGAACGCAGACAATAACCAAAAGAGCGCAGAGCGCAGAGAGCAGTGTGTAATTATGAAAGCAAAAAATCTGAAAAAGAGCGTAGAAAGTGCCGGCAAGTGTCGGGCAGTCAAATGGCCACAAAGGTTATAATTATATATATAAATGTGTACGTATGTATGTAATTAACCTTTTTGGTAGACACAATTTGGAAACTTACATGTATTAGTATTTTTGTTTATTTTTGTCGTTGAAAACTCAATATTTTTGAGAACATTGAAATAAATTGTATGTTAACAAAAAATTTACTCTCTATCTTGTCTCGCAAAATTCGGCCGGTTTGTAATTCGTATTAACACTGTTTTGTTGTTGCTTTTACATTTTCGTAATTTTCGTGGACTAAATTTTTTTGATTTTTGTTTCATTTACATTCGGGAGCACAAAACTAAGAGTCACTTTTAGGGGAAGTCCAACTCAAAACTCAAAAACCGAAAATTGAAACTCTTAAAACTTACATATGTACATACATATTTACATATATTAATATTTCGTACTCGTATTCCATATTCGCATTTGGTTGCCATCGTCGTGTTACGTTGCGCCTCCAACATTATCATCATCATCACCATCATTATAATCGTCGCGGTCGTCGTCATCATCATCGTTATTGTCGTCGTCGTTGTGGGGCCTGTTCTGTCCGCTGTGCGGCCCGTCTGTCTGCCAGTTAGCCAGTCAATGTTGACGCTACACGACGCTGTTCCACTCTGCGTTGCTCCGCTCCGCTCGTTTTTGAGCATTTCGCATATTTAATATTGGTCGCAAATACAATTCGCAATTATTCAATCGCGAGCAGCATTGCAGTGCGGATCCCCCGAAATTCAGTTAAAAAAATCTACATAAGTTCAACGATTTCTCGACTTCCCATACACAATTTATTTGACTGTTTTGAGTTTGAGTTCGAGTTCTACATGCAGCCGTAATACCAGTATACAGTGTGCAGTGTCAGTGCTCATAAAACTGAAGAGTTGTTGAAAAATAAATATTTTTGAAATAATGTACGTTGTCGAGCGTTGAAGAAAGAAGTTTTTGAAAGTATAAACAAAAATACTTTGTTGAAAAATAAAAGTTTTTGAAACGCTATTTAGAAAAAATTAATTTTTTACAAAGCTGTAGTGTTGTTAAAAAATGTATATTTTCGAAAATATGTACGTTGTGTTGTCTGTTGAAAATTAAAAAAATATTTTGTTGGGAAATAAAATACAGTTTTTTTCGAAACTATTTAAATTTTTTTATTTTTGAAAAATACAACTAAAATTTGTTCGAAGCAATTTTGAAGAAAATATTTTTTTTTTTGGAAAGGTAAAATTAACATTTTTTCAAAACCAATAGTTACTAAAAAATAAATTTGAATAATTCTAAAAATATCTATTCACCAGCTAAAGTGTTTTGAGTCGTAAGAATTGTTTACTTTAAAACACTTTTTCCAAAAATGTTAAATTTAGTGCTTCTTTAGAGTTTTGAAATGCGGTATATTTTGGAACTTGGAAACATGTGTGTTAATTTGTTTAAACGCTGATTATTTGTATTAAATTGCCATTTGCAAAATACATATTCGAGTTTGACTTTTTTTTTGTATATTTTTAACTTTTTTATCATCATATCTACGTTTATTTGTTTATCTGCTCTTATTTGTGCTTATTTTTGTGATTACTCATCCCGATCGGCGAAAAATTTACAAATGCTTTGTTTATCCACCAATGCGGTGTTATTCATTTGTAATTTTAATGATTTTATTTTTGCTTCTTCTTAATATTTTGTTTTAAATTTCGCAAGCACGTTTAAATGTAAAAAAACATAAAAATATTTGTAATACAAACAAAAACACATATCTACACACATGTAGAAATTCCATAAAATTTCTTAACACTAGCGTATTTGTTCGCTTTTAAAGTTCTTTGCGTTCGCTGTTATTTTTGCTTCGTATATTTTGCATTGCTTCCATTATTTTTCAGTTTGTATACCGAATGGGTATTAATTTTTTATGTTTTTTAATGCTATTTTTAAATTTCTGACGTTGTGCGACAAGTTGTTTGGAAAAATTTAAGCAAAATAATAAAAATAAAATAAAGTGATATACAAATAGCTACAAGCAAATTTAAAAAAAAAAAACGAAAAACAGCGATATGTGCTAATGTTTGTAACACCGAAAACGTGTTAAAGACATATGTAAGAAAAACCACAAATATTGAAGCAGTTTGAAGTTGTGGAAAATTATAACAAAAATTGCAACGCGAAGCCGCGGAAAATTTGCGTCGTTTCAAGCGAGATGAAATCATAAAGAAAATATGTGCAAAAATATTGACTTTGATTTATTAGATGTGCTCAAAAATATTTTATAATAATATTTATAAATAAAAAAGAAGCAAAGAAAGCTTTATAATTCACAAGCTACAACTATGAAAACATATAATAAGAATGAATGCAAATTGAAGCCTTGTGTCATGAAATTTAAAAGTTAATTTTTTACGGCCTTTTATCACATACTACAATAAATAATATTTTTCTTTTCATAAAAGTTTGAATAAAATACGATTATTTTAATCATGGTTTAAATAAAAACTAAAAAAAAATTTTTTCATGAAGTTTATTTTCATAAAGGTCATAAAATATTTCGTACGCCTTTTTATCTTAAACTGCATTAATTTTTTTTTTTTTAATTAATATATCTTTCCTTGAATAATAAACATTAATTTTTGATCCCTTTAAATTTTAGTACACTTTGAATTACCTGCCATCGCTTTAGCCGTATAAATGTCATTAGCGTTGTAAATATCGCTTATTTCATAGAAATATCGTATAAGAATTATAATGAAATCGACATAATAACAAGTGAAATAAATAAAAAAATTGGTGTAGTTAAATAACAACAAATGAAAAAGAAAAATTAATACAAATCAATGTAAAACAGTATAAATGTGAATAAAAATCAATTGGACTATAATTTTCTCTCGAATAAAAACCTGCTGCATTTATTTACAAAACAGTGTAAGTAAAAAATATAATTTTATTACATATCAAAATTGTAAATATTTACATTAAAAAATAATTATGGTGAGTAGTTAGAAATTTGTATTATAATAGTTAAGATAAAAATCCGAATAGGAAAACATACCTAACTCTAACTAACTCGCAAGGGAATATTACTGAGACTTGATTATTCCTAAATATTTATATTTTCGAATAAAAAACTCTCATCATGTACTGGAGACCGCTCTCTCTATATATGTAACGCACAAACATAATTAACAGAAAAACATAATTAACACTTTGCAATTGGTCGAACTTTGATCAAATCATATAGAATTATTCATAATGCAATAAAATGCAAGGACTCTTGAGTAGATTTACCTAAAAATTGATTTAACCACTTTATTTTAAACAGCTGACTTATGAGTGAACATATTAACAAGATGTTTCTATGGTTCTCGTCGACGAGATCACATAAACATCACTGGAGCGAGCTGATAATATATTTAACCAATCATCTGTAACATATTTGTATGTCACTAGTATTGTTAACCAGAAGCTAGGATTTCTTTGCAGAGATCTTAAGTTAAGTCACTCTTACAGAAGACCAGACAAATTTCGGATAATTCGGAAAATTGAAAAAATAAATATTTGTATTGAAAAAAGTTTCTTCACTGCACTGGAAGATATTCCCGTACAGAGACTATGGTCGAAAAAATCAAAAATTGACAGAATAACGGCATTTAAAATAAAGTTAAATTTTAACCAAAAGTTTGGTGTTTTGACCTGCCATAAATCAATTTGAATAGGTTACAAAAGTAATAGGTCATTGTATTGGAGAATTATATACAGAACATGCAGAAACAATTTGTTAGTGATCGAATCATTTGTCTCTAATTTGTTTAAAGATAAATCGATAGAGATGAGGTTAAACTATTTGAGATATCGATTTAAAATTTTTGTATTTTATTTTTAAAGTTATAACGTATCAAAATATAAAAATATCGAAATTCACATTAGGTGTGCTCCTTAAATCATTGCTCGCTACTCTGATTAAGAATCACTTAGTCCAAGACTGGTGAATTTTCCTATTATTTAATTAATGAAACTCCCAAAGAGTACAAATGGGGCAAATTTCTTTCTACACCTAATAACTACACAGATGCTGGCAACATAGAGATATACGTATGTATGTCAAAAATTCCCCAACCAGCTTCGAAACATCAGTGCCAAATTTATATAGTTCTATTCTTCGCTAAAGTTTCCAAATTATATTTAGATGTCTTGGACGAAATATAAAATTCTAACGAACTAGTCTGGAATGATTTTTGACCAATGTTTGTCTATCGTCCAAGATTGGTTTCACTGTTTTGCGAAGTTAGCGACCGATATTTTGATACTAATTGAGGGTCATATTTTAACATATGCCCATGACGAAATATATCCAAACAGAAATACCATCAGCGATTTGAATTGGAAGGTTGAGTATTTTTTTAATTATTTTAGATTAAGCAATTTTAACTTTATTAGATAACTAATTCCACTTTCACGCCACGAAATATGCCAGACCATATCGAAATTGATTATTCTTAAGAAGCTTACTAAGTGTTAAGTAGCTAAGTCGATGACTGACTATATAAATAAGTTAATATTTGTGTGCCACCATTTCAAATGAAATACATTTACATTTTCTGAAATTCTCAAAAAAATGTGAAAAAATGCAATGAAAAATAACAAAATCCTTCATTGACCTGATTTTGCATACAAAAATGCGAAAGTAACCGAAAAGTACTAAAAACATATCTCCACAATCGAACACACATTTTTGCTGTGCATATGCCTGCATTTACTAATATATGTATGTACATTATGTAGGTACTCTTTCAGCATCAACAACTTTATCACGTGCATACACAATATTTACTATATGTGCCCCAAAAAAGTGACACTTTCCAAAAAATTTAAGCGAAAAAAAGACAAAACAAAACAAACGGCATCTTGTAGTACGTTGATCGAAGCTGCAACCCACTAATTTGTTAAGAGACTTACATCGGAATGAGCACAACAGCCAACGAGCCTGCGGTTACCGAACGAACATCCGACCGACCGACCGACCGACCGGCGCACCACCTTTACATGCGGTGAGGCTCGGTTATTTTGGGTGAAAGTGAAATCACAGAGCGAACAGTAAATGAAAAAACGACACTTTTTTTCGAACTCAAAACTACAATCATTTCGGGTCAACACGTGTACTTAAGAACTGTAAAGAAGGTACAGTTTTAATTTAATTGAGAGAAATTGAAATTTTGCAAAGGTACACATAAATACCATATATATACATACGCTAGTGCATAATTGGTATGAAAGAAGCATGCCTCGATTTTGAATGTAATGTATGCATGTGTGTGTATTTTATTGGCTACTTCGCTTATGCGTTCAGAATAGAGCTCGAAGGGAAACCGACCAACATTGAATATCCATTAAGAATTCATGAAATGTAATGACACGTATGTATGTATATATATGTATGTACTCAAAAGAAAGTGTAAATTTTAACCAGACTATTTGGTTGAAAGGTAGGAGGATGCAGAATCAAGTTGACAAAAAAAAAATTAAAATAAAATTGAAAGGTTCAGTTGAGCATTAATTTGTCTTACAATAAAGACGTTCAAAAATCTTGCCAAAGGGTGCAATCATACTTCGATACTTCATAATTGTGTATTTCACATGTAAATTCGTAATTGTTTCTCTTCTTTAAAAGAAAAGCACATAAAAGTATGGTACTTGATTTCTTGATTTTTTTTTTTACAATTCACACAACCATTATCAAGTACCGGTTGAAATATTGAAAAATATTTGGGTCATATTGCGAGTACAGTGTATAAGTACGCCTTCTTGTCTTATTTTGTTTGTAGTCCTGCTCTTCTTATTACTTTCGTCTTGAAACGCTTTTTACTTGCAATATTATTGTCTTAATTTTTTTTTATTGAATATTAAGAATTCGATATTTCGTTACAAACTTTACATTAACATTATTGAGAAATCAGCCTTAGCGATTATTTTAACTCTGCTGAAGAAACAGTTTCTACCACATCAATCACTCTATGTAATCTTAAGAAAAAAATTTTAAAATATAGAAAGATTATTCCTACACAAAATGGTTGCTTTAGAAAATATAGTTAAAAAAATTGTATTTTTTGGCGATGAAGCTTACTTGTGGTTGAATGGATACGTTAATAAACCAAATTGTCGCATTTGGAATGATAATCATCCGCGAGTCGTTGTTGAGACGCCGTTACATTCTCAAAAAGTCAAGGTTGGGTGTGCTCTATAGGCAAAGGAAATCATTGGAAATGTAGTCGTCCTTAAAGTTAATCAATGGAGGCGATGATTAATGACTTTTTCGTGCCTGATTTGGAGGGTGTTGATAAGGATTGGTTTCAACAAGACGGCGCTACAAGTCATACAGCCAACGTAACAATCAATTTCTTGAAGCAAACTTTTGGTTGAAAACCACATGTTTTAAAAAAAACTCCCTATATTACAGGGCGCAGCGCAATGCTTTGTAATAAATGAATAAATTCATGATTGTTAAAGTCGGAATCGTGTAGCCAATTGCTTCTATCTCAGTGTGGCTACTCAGACTGTCATCAGCGCTCTGCTTGAAATGTTGCCTACATTTAGGATTGCACTGAAAGTTAATTCTTATTTATTATTTTAGTTATACATCAAAGAATATGCGCAAGACGCTTTACGTATTAATATCTTATGCGGTTATATCCACTTGTGAATTTCAAAATATTATATATACATATATTTGAGAATATCTCCGAAAATTTAAAGTTAATTCGGTAATGATCGATTTAATAAGATTTTTGATATTAATTTCGAGTTTCTAAGCTGGGAGTGTAAATTTTTTTACAAAAAATATGTTATTTTTAAGGCCGCCATTTTGTCAAAAATTAAAGTTTTGACCAGTTCTTCAATCACTAACTGCATCCATGTATAGGAATAAAATTTTTTTTGGTTTTTGGATTGGCGAAAAAGCAGAAAAAGCTTCCTCACCTTTTTTCGGAGCTTCTTCTGGAGATCAGCTAAATCATCAAAGAAATTTAAAATTTTTGTGAATTAATCACCAAATATTAAGGTACAATAAATTCTGTAAATTTACATTATTTTTATTTATTTATTATATTAAATAGACTCTTCAAAGAAATTAACAAAAAAACGCGTTGCATGTGAATATAACTCCTCATTTAGAGTATAATGAAGATATAACCAGTAGTACTTACTATTTCTTACAAAAGAAGAAAAGAACACATTGTTGTTATCTATAAGTATATTATAGACATCGCCTTTTTTTCTAGGGCTAGTCAGTCACAATGTATTATTGAGCATAGATTTTAGTGCACCACGTCGTATGAATTACCAGCGAAGTTGTTGATGACTTCTGGCGGTGGTGGAAACTGTTAACACTCTACTTAATAAAATCGGTAAACTCCATTATTTAAGATCTGAAGAAGAGCAGTTTGCGAAAATTAGAATAACTAATGATCAACAAAAAAAGAAATTAAAAATTCTTAATTTAATTGTTTAGTAAAAAAAAAAAAACAATTGAATCAAAATACCAAATTTACCCGTCTACGTGCAACCCTTTCAATTTATGTATGTATGTAGGTATATTAAGCGTTGTGAGGAAAAGCCAAATGTTAAATAGTGCTGATGAGCGCCAATATGTATGTATGTATGCAGAGTAAGTGTATGTATTTAAGTGAGCACACGTGCACAGAATAATTAGTGAATAAAAAAATAGAGCACAATTCAATTGAAGCCCAAAAATAAAAGTGAAGCAATTGACAGCGTAGTTGGAACGAAGACATGTAAAATGATGGGCTTAATAAGCAATGTGATGAGCTATGAGACAATAAACCGTAGCAATTTCACTTAGAAATAATTCACTTACATATTTCAATTTCCCCTCAATGACACTTATCTATAGGTATATGGTATTTATTTGT